ATCAGTCCCAGTTCCCCACTGCTAAAACATGGATTTAAGAGGCTGATATTCAGCTACCCAATTGGACAAGGTACACAATAAGATCTTGGAGGTTTGGCTACAGGAGCTCAGAGCCAAGGTCGTGGCAGCCCTTTTCCTTTGGCGGTCTCAGGCACAGTGCCCCAGGCAGCAGTTTCCCATGGGAGCCGCTTTCAACCTCAGCCTAACTCTCACCCTGCCCTGAGCTACAGCTCCTGCTGCATTGCTATCACTCCTGTGCAGGGCCATAGCCCTGCTGATCCGGACCTGGACACACCGAACGACATCCTTCCCTGTCCCTGGACCTGCCTGGCGATCACCAGGCTGTGCTTGGCCCTGGTCACCCTCCCCAGAGCTCCGATGTTCCCTTGCTTAGCTGCTGTCTGCCCAGTCCATAGGAGCTGCTGGCCCCTGTTGGTGAGCTCAGGCCCCCTTGAACCCTGAGCCATGCACCGTGGGCTGCATGGGGGCTACCCCTCTGCTCTCGCTGAGCCAAACACTGTGGCCCAAACGCAGGTCCCCATTTTCTCCTCTCTGCCAGCTCATACTGTTCCCTGTTCCTTGCTAATCCCTACATACACATCTCTTCTCAAGATCTTAAGCAAGCATGAATTCACCTGATCAGAAACCCCCTCACATATTGGAAAAAGTGATAAAATGCACCTTGTATTCACAGTACAGGATCTAACCTCTCTTTAATGATTAATTTCCCTTCTGACTAGCAAACATTCTTTTTAATTTAAGTAGAAATGGTTATGTTGGCAGTGTTGTTATAATCAAGATTCAAAATAAATTACGTTCTATGGTTTCCACACATATAAAATGTTTTGAAACATTTACTTTCTTGCTTATTTTCTATGAGAATATAATTTTCAAACTGTCAAGGCTCTTCAGCTACTTTGCTGTTATCCACGAGTGGCTGTTAAAAACTTAATAATATTCTTCTTGAAACAAAGCTATTTGAAAGCATTTCATGTAGGAAAGTGGGAGCTTGGCATGGCACGGGCCTGTTCCCAGCAGATTTAAGCAGCAGAATGAATCAGGATAGCAGCACTTGGAAATCACAGTATGTATAAAAACTCATAATCTTGCCATTAGGGACCTGTTCCAAAGCTCATGGAAATCAATTGTGGAAATTTTTAAATAGCCTTCTCTAAGCTTTATAGTCTTAAAAGCATTTTGGATGCAAGCCCCCAACATGAAGGTGATTTCTTAAGAAAAAACACGAATGCATGTTCATTTTAGAACACATATTTGAGAAGTCACTCTCCTACACACAGACCGATGACATTGTTTCCTTCTGGTCTTGGGAAGAAGTCTAAACTGTCCATTGCATCTTACACAACAAAGTTAAATGACCTCTCAGAGATGCATTTTCTTGTGCTCACAGTGTATTTTCAACTACATGCTTCAATATGAAGCTGCACATAAAGAGCTAAACCAGTAAGGGACACATATATTATATAATTAGGTATATTGTATATATTCTATTCCTAAGAGCCCCTGAATAAATTTTCCTAATGAGATGATAAAAATAAAGGTAAACTTTACTGGAATAGGTACTGTTCTGTAATACATTATATAGTAACTAACTCCAGCATTGGGTGTAGCACCATTTCTGTTATAGGTGCTTACAAGACCTCAGATATTTTTATTTTGTTTCAGAACTACTGAGCTCTCACCTGCCATTGTAGAGTGAATGTAGTACAAAGCCCTAACTTTTGACCTCCAAATCACAAACAACAATCAAAATGCAGTTTGACTTTCTCCATTGAAAGAACATGGCATGTATGCGTAAGAACAAGATATTCTGATGGTATTGAACAATCCTGATCTCCACTGTTCTTTGTCTGATATGAGAGGTTTTTTAAAGCCAATGAAATACCATTATATGGCATGCCATGCTGCATCACTGTTCTCATGAAACACGCTCTATATAGATGTGTGGGGTTTTTTATTTTTACAGTTTTTTGTTCCACAACTTTTACCAATATTATGGCATATATATTGCTGTATCTGGAATACATTTTATTTACAATGGAAACTGGCACCACTCAGATATTCACAAAAAAAGCAAAATCTTTTAAATGGCTTTATTAACCTTTTGTCTTCCTGTACAGTACTGGAAATGCATCACTACAGTATTTAAACACTAATTCAATTAAAATAAGATACCAGTGCTTAAGGAAGATTATTCCTCTCCTCTGCCTACCATTCTTAAAATGCAAGCTTAGTATTTCTTCACTTGCTGCTACTCCATGTGTGGGACTGTGAATTTCAGAAAAATTTTCATCAAATAGTTTAATTTCATGTTCTAGTCTGAAAGATGCTCAGGAACAGGAATCTGATTTTTCAGTTACATTGTCTGCAAAGCCATGCTTTAGTAAATAGTACAGGAGGAGCAGCTGAAAAGACAGTCTTGTGAAAGAAGTTTAAAATATTGCTTAATTAAAGAAGTTGGAGTTGTATTGAATTAGATTCCAGCCCTGCATGTAAAAAAAGGACTACTCTTCAGCACTGAGTCTCTTCCTCAGTGCTCCAACACTCATATCAGTGATAGAACACAAATGCCTATTTCTGATTTGAGGCAGGGGAGAAGAGAAACAACAAAGCTGAATTACTGAGTTGACCGAGGCTGCCTCTGCAGAAGCTTAGTCAGAGGTTAAAAACACTGACAAGCAGTAGGATGTTACAACAGGCAAAATACATTTTTCAGGGCAACTGAGATGGTTCAGGCAGGCCAAGCAATATTCAGGATCAGGCCAAGAGATGAGGAGGTAGGAGATTTTTCAAGTTCTCCAAGATGCCTTTATCAAAGCTATTCTTATGGGCCTGGTTGGAACTGAAACCTAAGTTACTAATGACTCTCTTTGAAAAACTGTTTGTGTCTACATCAGCAATTAGTGTGCTGGAGAGATTCTTCCTAGGCATTGTCTTGGAGTCTCAAAGTAGGCATATGAGCACATCAATGTTGTTCCTCAAATCATTCCCCTTCTGATGGAACTGAGGATGAAGTTGCTCACCAGCATGCCATTATGTGTTTGTCATGTAGACCAGTGTTCTCCAGCGGTTTGCACTTTGTCTGTGCATTGTGCATAATCAGGGCTGGTAACTGGCATGAACTTCACTGCCAGGTGAAGAACTGATATTGTGTGGTCTGTCAACCATAATCAGTTGCAACAAATCAAACTCTGTTCTTTCTGTCTTTGCAACCTCATCAGTTGGTGATGTAGTCATACCCAGTAGGACCTTCGTTGGGCAGCAACTTGAATCACTTGACTGAGCAGCCAAGCATTCTTTCTGTTTCTGCTAAATTTCTGAAGGATAAAGTCCTGGCCTTGACTACCTTTAGCAGAGGAATGTGGTCACTGGTTTTACAAACACAGGTATCATGGGACTCTACAGAGTACAGCACACCTCCATTACAGAGCTTGTGTGCCATAAACTTTAAATAGATCGAAGGCAAGATTGGAAGTAGAAGGATCCTGCCTGATGAATCCATAACTATGCAGATCAATCAGTTGTGTTCTATGCAAACGAAATGTTAGCCAGTGCAAAGGCTGATGGAGCTGCGAGGGAGTTACTCCAGATTATGAGACTGAATTTTGCCCAGTTTTAGCGCAGGTATGCCAAAGCAAAATTATTTTAATTTTGCATAAATTAAAAAAATATAATTAGTATCAGTCACAGTAAAAGTAACTTCTATTTTAAAAAGCAGTTAATTCTAATAATATTTACTGCCTGCAAAATTGCACCTGATTTCCTATTTTAAAGATTCAAATATAGCTTGGAAAACAACATGGAAGGGCTAAAATAGGAAACATTCATAAATATGCCATGTTTTCCCTGATGAATCATCTCCAAAACAGAAAAGCAGAATAAATTGAAGCTAACTGCAGAAAAAGTAAGGTGCTATAGGAGTCACTCATTACAAAACTAAGCTCCTAGTGTTATACTAATATTATTATAACCTATTTCACTTTGATATTCCCATATCTACAGAATTTGGGTTGCAAGGAAATATATTTCAGAACAGCTATTTTGTTTTAGTTCTTGATGTGTCAGGGAAACACTTTTATTAGGTTCAGCTTTTTGTAAATTACTGATTAGCAGTCTCCATTCAAGATTAATGTGTCCTGTTATAATAAAGTAAAATACATGAAATAATAACAGAGGATTTGAATAACATATTTGTGGGAATTTGTTACCATAATTAAGGAAAAAAAAGTATCTATCAATACTTACCAAACTACAAGGAAAAGAAGTGTGATATGTATACCACAAGCAAAATGAATGTATCTCAGCTACACCCCCTTATTTTCCATACATTTAAAAGTCAGCTACTAGAAAACAGCTGTAAGCAACAATCTTTGAGACAGTGAACTCACATTAAAGAGATCAATGCAAACTAGGCATTTGCAGAAAAGGTCTCTAGGAATGAGATGCACTCCACCTTCTGAAGGACTATAGGTAAAACCGGAAACATTTATAAATTTTTAAATGGCCAAGATTTCACTGCTGGGTAAAAGTGGTTGATAAGCGAGTATTTTTATTTGAGGTTATGCTTCCATTGTAAATTACATAACTTAGGCACTGGTGGGTTCTAATGGTTAAAATTTACCATCTCCATATTGCTGTTTTTCAAATAATTTCTCTAAGTGCACTGAAAAAGAAGTCAGAAAGCCTTCTAAGAAAACAGAAAAACAAGCCTCTGATAGGACGATATAGGAATATACCTGCATGATGATGTTAATTTAAATGCTTTCATACTCTTCACCTCAAGGTGCACCATGTACATTTAATTTTTCTTTAAGTAAACAGACTTAGGATTTTATTGTGCTATGTAATAAGCACTTCTCCAGTCATTTCTTCTCTTTGGAACTGTAACTATGCACTTCACTTCCTAGGGATTAATGAAACACAGTGATGCATGACATGAATGGCTTATACAGACTGCAGGAAGAGAAGCCAATCACCTTTACCTGAAGTGGGAGACTTGCAACGTTCTAGCTCCAGGGAAACTGGACTGTCACTGAGTTCAGTCAGGCCTGAAAAAATGGAGTTGAAAAGTTAAGTTACAATCCAACAGGGCATGCTTCAACTTTCTTGGCTGATGGTATTCTGCACTTTAAAGTCAACTTGGAGAAAGGAATGGCTTGAAGTTGGAGAAAGGAATGGCTTGAAGTGTGAGGAAATATCCCTTTCAGATAACTGCAGTTATCAGGCTGTCACTGTAGAAATTTAGGCCTGGATTAAGAAAAATCACACCTCTTGTTAACTCAGATTTGTTTTCTGAGTGCCTCAGGGTAGACAAAGAGTGACTGTATCTAACAAGAGAAAACAAGTAAATATAGTTTAAAATTTAAATGTCCGTGATACAAATCAAACTCATTCATCCCTGTCAAACTGATGTGGAAACAACTCTATGCTTTCAATTGCTGCAGAATGCAGGGAGGAAACCTTAAAACAGGGGAAGAAGAGAAGTAGTAAAAAAAAAAAAAAAAGAAAGAAAAAAAAGACAGTACTGGTGAAAAAAGAAAGTGAATACAAAAATATCACTACTGCTACGCAATATTAGGAACTTTCATATGAGTTCACACCAGATAGCTCACTTCAAAGGAGACAGAGGCAATGATAATGCTCTCTGAATACAACACAGATCTTTTGGATAAGGTACTTTATATATTGTTTATAAATATTTGCAAGGAACTTATTTGTAGCAGTCTACCATGGAAGACAGCAACAAATAAAGTAATCTCAGTTTATACTGCTTAAGCTTGGGCTTGTTTCTGTGGTCAAACTCAGATCCATCTTTGGCATAGGTTGCATGTACATAAGTTTAAAGATGCCCTTTGGCATGCTAGGGAGAAAAAGTCTGAGCTCATGCTACCCTTTACCATGGGCTAATTGTTGAGTGGGTGAACTGGCCATGGCCATACCTATTCAAATGTACCCTCCATATGTATCCCATGGTGCCCTACGGCCTCTATCAAGTAGTTCACACTTGTTATATGGAGCTCTGACACTTCATGCCATAGGCTACATGGCACCAGCAGACAGCCCAGCACCAGACATCCATTTGCCAGCAATGTGGACTCACAGCTCTGAGGTCATAGAGCCTAGCGAATATCAGCCCACATTCAGATGTGCATTACTGTCATACTGATACTGTGTTTACACACACTCTGTGTACGTTGTATCCTGGAAGTCAAACATCCTATCACAACCTTTCAATATGCTTTAATCTGGCAGCATGCCTCCTGCAATGTGACATCTTTTAATTTTTATCGCTTCTGGACCCTCAGGCTCAGAGGCCCTCATCTCTAAAATTCATATAGACTGCTGCATTCTGCTACCATTTGGTCTCCCGTGCTGTTTTCTTTGTATTAAAAACAGTGAGAGCTTAATGTAGGTACTGATATTTTTATTACAACATAATTTTGAACTGCTCTTAGAAATAGGGAGAATCCAGAGGCCCAACAAGCAGAATAAAAAGCTCCTACCACTAATGAACCTGAATGACTGCTAGAACACCTTTGAGAGCACTTTGGAAAAACAGCAGTATTGATTTGGCTTGTTAAGTCAGTAGTAACGACACATTTGCTCCTGACTTTTAAACAACAAGAGATCACAATCTCAGTAGTAATGTTGAAAACCAAAGATTTTTTTATTTTGAGAAATGTATTTGAATCCATCTTTGATTAAATTTGGAATCTGTGAGAGAATTTTATATTCCAATCAATTGTGAGTCCCATCACTTTTGATGTTACAACAGAATTTAGGAACTGCTACCATTTAGGGAGCCTCTCTATGCATAGCTTGCTTACAGCAAATCTTACTTCTGCCTGTCTCTGAGGTTTCTGTATGTACCCAGAAATTTGGGACATAATTGATTTTTGCTGCAGAACTGTCTGCAAGGTACAGTGAGAACGAATTTGGTACATTCATATAGCATCAGGGGCCTTGAATAAATAAAATGAAATATTAAACTGTTACTTTTGCAAATGCAGTATTGGAGATATTAAAATTTTAACATTATGGTTATGATGTGATTAATGAAATTCTTCTAAACCTTGTATAGTTACTATTGGTGATTATTACAATGTCAAATGCCAGGTCAGATTTTGCTTCTAAACAGAGTTTCTTTTTTTTTTTCTTTCTGAGTTCACAGAAACAATATTACAGCTCAATATAAATTATGGTGCGACTGACTTAAGTAGAAAATGCATCAAATCGCACCACTGTTCTGAAAACCCAAGAGCAACCATCATGAGAATACCACAAGCTCTTTATATTTGGCACCAGTTGTACAACAGTAAAGATACATTTCATATTACAGTATTTAAAAATTGTGAACATGTGAACTTCTCTACAAATCTAGATGTGTTGTCAAGCCACTATCACCTCTAACAATGACCACCAACAGATGCTTTTAAAAAAAGTGCAATAAGTCCCCACGTTAAGCGTAAATGGTATTACGTGCCCTGCACAAGGGCATTGTCTTAATCTCAGACAGTTAGATTTGCCTGAGCACTGCCACTTGCAGATTCTTCTCCTGCCACAAATCCTTCTTGCTTAGAAATATTAGAATGAGTTCTTTTCATTATCCATCCACATATGCAAAGCCTCTTTTAATGTTACTAAATTCTACATCCCAAAGATGTTATATGGCAAAGAATTGCACAGTCATCATTCACTGAATGGAATAAACATACATTTGTAAATTTTTACATGTTACCTTTGATTCCATTAAAGGTTGTCTTTTGTTTGTCTTTGAGATAAGAAAGGGAGCTCTCAAGCTTTTCTTTGTACTACTGCTTATTTTCTACTATCCTTTCCTTTTTAAGGAAATCAAGCTAAATATTTTCAATAATTTATCATGTGTAAGTATTTCCATGCAATTCAGCTTCCCATGAATGTTTGAGAGACTACAGCAGCTACTGAAGTTAGATTACAAAAATATTTTCACTTTTCATTTTGAAGTTCTGTAGGCCAAATCTGTGTCCTTATATATTTTAGGTATTATCAGTCAAAAACCCCATGCCAGAAAATTTTGAGTCCAGGTAGAGCAAGAAGAACATAGCAGCAAAACTAAAGGCCAATAACTGAGATTGGCAAAGCAAACAACAACCTGTGAGAAGATATACCCATTGACATTATAAAGAAATTGGCTTTGATTTGAACAAATTACAAACATGAAAATACTGCAAGATGTAAATATATCACATAAGGCATTAAAGCACTTTTAAAGACATGTCCCATGGATACTTTTCAAAGTTTACTGTGATTCCCATTTCCTCGTTATTAAAGGATCAAAAAAAGTAATCTCTAGTGTGGAGTAACAACTTTTATGAACTCATAAGTTAATTCAAAATTATTTTTGAATTTTTAAATTTCTGTCTCTGTAACTAAATGATTCAGACTGGTCATTTACTTAAAAGCACCTAAAGCCATCACATCTTTGCTTATAAATAAATGATTTATAAATAAATTATCATAAATATTCATAAGCCAACAAGTAAGCCCAGTGTTAGCTCAATCCATCACCTTCACATTGAACTACCATACTATGTTTTCTTTATGTTTAAATATGACGCATCCTTTGGAAATGACAGTTAGTTCAGAATATAGCTGACTTAAAACTCAACCTATATTAGCTTCAACTGTGTTGTCAGGTGTGATTTAAAGTGTCAATTACTGGTATGTAATGACTCATAACACACAGTTTTCTGCGCCCTCCTGTCAGACCAAGGTTACTTTTGCGCACAAACTCTCAAGGGACCGGCCTGAAGGAGGAACAAGGAGTTCTCACTGGAAAGTCTTCATTCTGAACATTATTTTCCAATGTATCAACATCCTGTGAACTTGCTGACTTTTTGGATGCTTCATAAAGACTATTTATTTACTTGTTTTGCCAACAAATGGTATGAATTTCTAGTAGGAGATGCAAATTGCTTTTGCAAGTTGGTATTTTTATGTTCTGCTGCAAACACTCTCTCTCTAGATGCAGTAAATGTACTTATTTTAATATTTGAATGTATGTTATATACCACTAGGTAATAACATGTACAACTTGATTTCAATTGAAGGGAAAAAAAACCAAACCAAAACCAACGAACAACACAGTTCTGCACACTGCAGAGAGAGTTTATTTTATAACGTTTGGCACATTTTCTTGCTACAAAGGAAGGTGGCTGCCAGCAGACATTATAGCAAACGGAACAGGTCATCAACACTAGAGAGCTACCTCCAGCTCTCCACTTACCCTCATCTTAGCCTCTTATTTTCCTCAAATTACTTCCCCTGATAGGACAATTATGTTTCAATGTCTCCCATTATGTATGCCTAGAACTGATTACATTTCTCCTTCTAATTTCTTCCCTTCTTGCTTCTCCCTTCCCACTTTCACCTCCCCAACCAGATAAAGTCTTAATGCTCTAAGTCCACCCTAGACACTTTTGAGTCTAGCTTACACATGTATACATTACGCTTATCAAGCTCTCTATAGATTTATCGGCTAAAATTCAAAACAATTATTCCACCACTATGCTTTGCATATTGGATGCCCTTGACATTTTTGATTATGTCTTTTCTTTGGAAAACCTCTCTTCTGCAACATATTGCTTCTTTTCCCTGCTTGATTTTTTTTTTTTCCCTTTCTCTCTTCAGTTGCAAGACATCCCAGACTGAAACATCAACACTTCTTTTATCTCTCTGTCCCAGTGTTTGAGAAGATTCTCTCCTATAAACAAGGCAATAATATCTTTTTTTACCCTAATCATTAATAAATACACATCTCTAACCTGGATTCCTTCCATCCAAGTTACAGTAGTAATCCTGTCTTTCTAAAATTTACTAACAAGTGTCCAGACATAAATTTAACATGGCCAAGATGAACTCTGTTTTTTCTGTGCTGAAGTCTTCTCTTCACTACTTCAACACAACTAACAGCACCACTGTCTTCCCTGATACTCTAATCCACAATATTGGTTTCATCTTTGGAACATCACACTTTAACCCTCAGATTCAGGCTGGATACTAAACTAGACTGTTTCTTCCTGCAAATCACCTCCAGAATGACTAACAAAAGTCTAAGCATCTTGCTCATTGATAATCTCTTCTTTGGCTTCAATGCCTGCAAGTCTTATTCTCTCAAACTGATCCTCATTAAATCATCTTCTTGGTTCATTACTTAATTGAATCAACTCCTGATATGTCTTCCCATTAACTTCCATTTTCATTTATGTAACTCTCAAAACTTTAGACCTAATGCTTATGTTATCACATGACTGCTCCTGCTTTTGCCTTAATAATATCAGCTTCAACTGCATAATTTCCAAAATAATTTTTCTTTTCCCATCATCATCCCTTACAAGAAGAGATAAACTCATAAGCAAAATCCTTAATCCATTCTCCATATCCCTCTTAAAACTTGTATCTCAGATAAGACATATAAGAAAGCATAACTTGAGAATGACTTAGCAAGGTATTTTACAGTCTATGACACATTCTTGCCTTGTTCTTTATCTTATTGCCTGGTGCATCTTTCAGATCATACAGTACATACTCCTGTATAAGTATGGAATGGCAAAAGCAGCAATCAAACAATTTTTGAGGAAAGAAACGAAGCTGTTAATGATCTTGCACAAGAGTCAGACTCATACTCTTCAGTTATGATGTATACAGAAAGATTTTGCGGACTTCTCCAATTTTGGAGTTGAAGATGGAAACAGGATCATACATTTTCAGTTATGAAAAACTCTATGGTCTGTGTTTGTCATTTTGAATGGAAATGTTGCTCAGTTTTTGTCTTAGAACTTATTAAATTCTTGGAAGGGGAAAACCCCCAAACCTTTGACTGCTGTCTGTCCCTCAGGTTCTCTGTTACAGACTTGAAATTAGCAAGACCAGACTAATAAACTTTAAGGCATTATCCACCAAACCTTTTTATGGACTGCTAGATTTGTAACTGGACTAGTCTTTTAACTAAACAGGCCACCTTTTATGAAGTATTATGAAGTACAATCATAGAAATCAGTTGTTGAGTAACCAGTCTAAAGAGACAGAATAGATTTTCTTGTGTGAGTGTACAAATGTATTTCAATAGCTGTACAACTCTGTATTTATGTGAGATGATAAAACAACTGCCACCCCTTTATCTTGCCTATATTGACTATTTAATGTAAAATTGCCTATCTAGTTGTTCTGTGAAAACTACTTTAAAAAGAGATGAATAAGAGGCATCCTGGAGACCTAATTACATATAAGCACTGCAGTTAATTAAGATACATACAGCTCATCTGTTGAACAGTCATTTTTGCAAAATTAATTATAGCTTTGTTCATTGCTTTCTGCAGTGATGAATACTAATATTTAAATTGCATATCACTATAATTCAAAATTTAAAGATATTAAAAACATTTAATTTTCATAGCTCTCTTTGATGTATGTATTTTTATATCCACTTTAGATTCCCCATTAAAGATCAGAGGCACAGGATGGTTCCCCAAAGCCAAATATTCAAGTACCAAACCAAGATTAAAAATTTTAAATTTCACAGCACCCAATCCAATCAGTATTCTTTTAAGCCACACTGCTCTTCTGAAAATAGGGAAGAATTCATTAATAACTACAACCAGGCAGTGCCATTGCAAAACAAGAAATGCTTCATATAAGTAGATGTACACTGAAATGAATACAAAACCAAAGAAAGATACTATCATCAGGAATGTAACATTGTTGAAAAATCATTTCTAAGGCCCAATCTGTCCCATGTAAGTCACTGAGGTTTTCTCATTGACTCTTTCGGAAGAAGACAACAGATTTGAAATATCTGTATAATAAAGATAATTCTCAAAATTAAGCATGGTTGACATCACAAAATGTGGTAAGTTTGCATGCATGCTGAATGTGTTTAAAAAAAACACATTACAAAGCACAAACACATGGGTTTAAGTCAGGCATAGTCCAATCATGATAAAGCTATTTGCCTAACCTTTATAGAACTTACTCTGATAGGAAGTACGGATCCGTTTCGTTAAATCTGGATAAAAGTTAGACAGGCCACGCATGCAAAAGTTGTCTTTGGAACATGCCAGTACACCAGCATCAGCAGCAGGCAGAGGAAAGAGAGAAAAAACAGTCTAAAGTGAAAGGAAGTGATATCATAACCAGCATCTAGAACAGCCAACGTGAAAAAATTTCAGCAGATGCTTACCTTCCAATTGCGAGATATAACAAGAAAAATAATCAAAAAAGTAAAGGATGTGGGATGGATGGTGAGAAAGCAGCTGAGGCTTTTTTTAGATACATAGTTTCTGTGAGCAATCTAGAAGTGCAAATTCCTTCTCAGTGGTCACTTATCCCCAGCAGGCTCCATTCTAGCAGTGCTGCATAGCTGGAATGTTGCCTTAAGGGACTGGCCAAGACTGTTGCTGACACAGAGAAATCCTATGTGGTATAGTATGGATAACAGTTATTTCTACATCAGCTACCCTCCACCTTTTGTACAGGGCTCTACAGCATGTTGCTTGTGGCTAGCTGCTCAAATTATTTTGGGAGCTCGTGTGAGGCTGGCCAAACCAGATAGAGAGGCTGAAGGTAGCTTAAAGCTGCTTGTCTCTTCTCTCCTCAGCTGTGCCGAATTTACATCTTTAGCACTTGGCACAGATGAGAACTAAGCTTTCCATGATTAAATGCCTAGAAAGTGAGATAAATGGTCTTTCAGGAACAGAAGTAGGCCCAAAGACTTACATTTTATTCTTTAAATTTCACTTTATCTTTGGAGTACAAACATATTCCCAATTAAAAAAAAGTTTCCATTGACTATGGAGAAATAGGATTTGATGATTTAGTGCAGGGTCTGTGAAAATGCTGATATCATAAACCCAGTATAATCTACTCCTTTTATAATTTTATGGTTAGATTTAAAACTCAGCATTTTCAAACAGATTTTTAAATCTAATTCTCAAACTTCACAGCTATGTAAAACACATTTCATACTTGTGTCTGTATCTACTATGTGACTATGGAATATGTAGAGTAAAAAGACTTGAAACATAGAAGATCTTCTGACTTTTTTTCTCAGACAAGTATAGTTTTAAGATAACCAAAACTGTATGGTAAAATTTATGCTGCATTGATGGACTAATATCTCTAACATGCAATGCATATTAATAGCTATGACTTACAAATGTGATCCTCTTGGCATCAAATTTTAAAATGGGGTAGAGCTGGATTTACCAAGTTTGTATCAAGAGCTTCAATTCCCTAACAATGTGGCTAATTTGAGCTGCTTGTACTACCTGCGTAACTGGTCTCTCAGGTGTTATACTTCTCCAAACACAACTGCCTATTCAAGTACCAATGAATAGCACTTGGCAGAGGATGCAATTAAGTTGAAATTGCAGTCTTACCTATTGGTATGAACCTATTGAAACCAGAAATAAAATAGCATACAGACTACACTTCAAGTGACTGCCAGAGAAACAATTTACTGTTCTAGTTATTATAATTTTTTAAAGACTCAGCTAAGAGGATTACTTGCTGACCTCCATCCCAAAAGAATAAACTCATAAAATATCTTATTTCTGAGAAAGTGTCAGTACCTAAAGCATGTCAGGTTTCTTTTTTCAAGTTACAGAAACTCCATTGGGCGGCAAATAGTCATGCATTTCAAAAGCACTATAAAAAGCCACAGGCAAAAAAACCAAAGAACATATCAGGCTTGTAACCACAATAATTTATTTCCTACCTGCAGCAAACTGCTTGCTCTTGCGAGGTGAACGGGGTTGACGCTGGTATGGATCACTTGATCCGTATAGGTCAAGGGTTCCCATGCTCAGCAGTACTGTCTTCTGCATAAAGTCCACAACAGCCAAACCATTGCAGTTTCCAAATGCCACTCTGAGAAAAGAAATGTTCCTCAAAGGTATTAGTAATATGTAATTAAGTGGCAGAAACAATAATTATTATTTATTATTAAGAATTCTGCACAAACATTTTCTTCAGAAACTACTCAAAGCTCACATTTTATAATTCTTACAGATTTTTAATCCTGAATTTATAAAATTGTGTCCTGAAACACAGTAATTGACTTTCCAGAAAGCAGTCTTCACACTTTAATTAACTTTCTGTGCCGAACACATTGCAATAATGTCTAAATGTTGCTTTACTGAACAATATAAGTCTAGTAATAATTATGTAAATAAAGCCTACAAATCTGGATGTAGATCTTAAAAAATGGTTATACATATACATAAAATATGAACATAAATTAAAATATAAATACAAATACATGTCTAAATAATTATTTTAATCTAAATATAAATGATAAATGAAATACATTAAGCTGTATTGTGGAGATATCCAAATCTGAAAGGTATTTATAAAATTTCCTTCCAACTCTATCAGCTTGGCTACAGTATAGATTCCTGCTAAAGCAGCCTCTACCTCTCTTAA